AAGCTATAGATATTTTACAGTGTTTCTGTGACATAATAGCAAGCTATCTCAAGGAAGGCTGAGAAGGAAGTTACCCATATTGCCTTCTAATGATGCACAGAGAACTAGTATGACTTCAGAAAACACATCACTTTCTACATCTTCACATTCAAATATTGAAAAATGCTTTTGTATGTGAATCTGACAAGATCTGAAATAGAAACAATGCAAAAATACTAATCTTCTGCTGCTTCATAGGGAAATCACAGAACCTCATCTTCCCCAAGGTTTTTCACTTACAGAAGCTACAATGTCTAAGATAAGAGGGCATAATATTGCCATTCCCACTATTTGCTACCAGCTGCAGATTAATCCTATTAGCAGGACCATCTTGCTCCATATTAGAAGCCAGCTTGTTTCGCATCTATATATTTAAAAGATTAAGCCTTTTAAAAAGTTTATCTGTAATGTTCTTCAAGCATCCAAGTGAAACATCTGATCAAAGTCAAAAAGAATACATTCTAGCCACCTGCAAAAGATTTCTCATGTTCTATAACATAAGCAGTTGTTGAGTATTTCAGTGTTCGTTTAAAGCACAATTCTAACAAAACCTTTCTTATTTGTTTCCCAAAAGGTAAGTCTCTAGTGACTTCAGAATTTTCAACATGAAAAATCAGTGCTTCCATGTACTATGCAGCAACAATGCAGGATATAGATATTTGATTTAAATGCTACTAAAATATCGAAAACGAGGTTTTACAGGGTAAGAGGAGGTGCTGCCATCTCTTAATTCTGGATAGTATTAAGAATCTTTTTTCAGAGTATTTTCCTAGCATCCTAGTCATCTCTATTATGTTCTTTTTTTCCTAAGAGGCTATACTGGAACTCTAAAAAAGCATCCTGAGTAGCTCACCATTTACAATTATGCAATTTGTCTATCCAATTTATAATTTGCAATTATAAGCATAAAATATGCAAATGTGTCCATTTCCATTTGAGAAATACAATTAACAGATTAAAAGTCTAGATGTAGGACCACTTCTCCCTAGAAAACAAATTTCAGCATGGGTAGAGATTTGCTAATGATTTTTTTTTGTCTAAGCAGTACATGCACTCCACTCTTCAGACTCTCAGAAGAATTTCCCAATTCAACTATATTTCTTATAAAGCAATACTAGTTTTCTGAAGAAAGTTGGCTTACCCACAGTATTTCAGTTAAAGTAAATGTAAACAATAAGTGTAATACTATTAAGACAGCCAGAAGTCAAAAAACTATTACATAATTAAGCTGGTTATTTTAAGCACTTAAAACCTGTTGTAAAGACATTCGCACAAATACCTGGGTGAAGACAAAATTGAAAAAAACACCCATTCCATTCTAAACTGAAAAATTAACGCAACTTTAACTTAAAAATATTATACCAGTCATTTCATATGAACTACTCTTCGTGAGTGTGGGGGGTGGGGGGGGGGATCCGACTTAAAAAGTACAAGTCAGTAGTTACAGTTGCATTCCTAATAATAGTTACTTACAATTACAGCAAAATAATGAACCAGACACTTCTAAAGTTAGTGTCATGATGGAATGAGATGGGTTTGTAAAACACGGGGTTTTTTAAGTGTTACATTTCCTACTTTATTATACAGATGTCTCACCTCATTTGGTTCCCTGGTGACTGCACAACTGTCTAACACAGTTATACACAAGGACTACACAAATCTGCATTGTATACTACAGGTAACAGACTACTGAGCTTTACTTTTAGTTACTTGTCCCTAATAGCTGTAATACTCAAATCAGATCTTAACATAAGACTGCACTTTCAAAGCAAGCAAAAAATCCAGACACTAGAACAACAAGGTTGCATCCATGTATTTGTCTATATTTTTTTTCACTGAATGCACCACTTATTTTTGGAGCTGAAAGTATACATGAAGACACCAAGTATTACATGATTTTAGAAAAAGCCAGAAGTTTTATATTTCTGCCCTCTAATATCACTTGTTTCAATGTACTCCAAAAAACTATCAGAGTCCCAAGAAACATTAGATGTACAATCATGCATACTCTTTCATAAAGACTAACTGTAAAATAAGAATTCACATGGTTTTGTAACTTCCTTAAAATAATTTACACACACAGAAATCTAAAATAATCCTTCCTTCACTATTTGCGGAGGAACTTCACTAATTTATAACCATAAAAATCTCAGCCATCAAGCTAAAAATGTTAAACAAGTTTATTTACAGCACACAACACAAAACTACTTGCTAATACTTCCCCTCCAACACTATCAATAGTGCCACTCTGTCAAAAATGCCAGTATGAACAATGGTTTTTCTTTTTTTTTTTAAAACCAATCCATTGCTTAAGACTGGTAAGTTAGGGAAAAATATGCAGAATACCAAGTCCAAGGACATGCAGCTACAGACCACCAGGCACATGCATTTCACAGCTAAAACTGACAGCTACCTGCAAACACAGAATATTTCAGAAAACAGTCGACTCTCCCTCAGATTGAGATTGACATTTTGTAGTCCATTACACAAAAAGCTATGTCAATCAAGGCAAAGAAATCGCACAACTGGAACAGCTCTAAGCTATTATGAAGTAAAGTTCACTAGCGCAGCTTTGCAATCACTCCAAGTAATAGAAGCCAGAGTCATCGGGGCTGTCATTTTAAGTTACAGGATCAGTTCATAACTTGTTTTATTTGACTGTTCCAAAGTGTCTCAAGTGTTTGATTTCATAGAAGACTTGCATTCCAAAGTCACCTGTCTTCCATACAATGCACCAAATTTACATTAAGCCACATCACGTGAATCACAGGAAACGAGTTTTATATCCAGTAAAGTGTCATTTAAACAAAGAGCTAGTACTTCAGTGAAACGATACATCAAACGTTTCAAAGTGAAATATCTTGGGGGGGATGCAGAGAAATCATTTCTGAATATATGAAGTTTTATAATCGCAAAGCAAACGTGTTAGGTATTGAAAAGATTCAGCAAGATGTGGTTTTGATTCCTTAATATATTAGGGTCACAAGTTTCTAGGAAAAGGCTTAGTCTGCAAACTCCTTTCAAAAAAAAAAAATATTGAGGCATATAGAAACAATAATCTATTGCTTACAAACAATATCGATCTACCCAGAAACATTTTAGGGAGGGGAAAAGTCTTATGAATAGGAGAAAATGGAGCAGGGTGGGAGAATGAATAGCCTAGTGCAGAGGACTAAAGCAATTCTCCACATGCAACCACCCAATTTGGGACAGTTTCAGTGAAAACCACGCGTTTGCTAGCGTAAAAGCAACCTTTCAAGCAGCACGGGAAGGCTGGAGATGCGGGAGGCTTCAGTGCTACATTTCCCACCGCTTGCAGGCGGGCGGGCAGGGGCGAGGTGCTCCTTCT